ACCGCTGAAGCGTTGACCATTTCTGGCCAGCAACTTTCAGCGTCATTAAGCCGCTGCGCCACCGCATCCCCCTCTATTTTATTTACATATTTGCTTTTCATTTTGCAGCCACTGTATTTGCTGCAACTGTAGCTCATAGGAATTGTGTTTCTTAAATTGATCCGTTTTGTATGTCACCTAGAAAAGTGTTGCTGTTGGATGGCTGATTAAATGGAGTAAATAAATAGAAAAGTGTTCAGGATTGCTTGATCAGCAGCAGCAGCAGCAATGGGTGGAGTGGAATAACTGTCCTTTGCAGAAGAGAACATACTAGCACGAGAAGCTCATCACTTTCTTGATGTGTGGGAGGATTTGCTGCTGTGAAATGGGAAGAGTGTTAGGCTTCTACAGTTTTTTTCAGGAAGCAAAGGCTGTATGAAGAGAACTGGGATATTTGTACAGAATTTCTAATTTTAGGAAGAGCTGCCTTCTCTTTTGCTACTTGTCTGAGGATGAAGTGTGGTGGGGACTGTTGTTTGTGCCTAGAGCTTTAAAGCAGAGTATCTCTAAAGTACTTATCTTGCTAGGCTGTTTGTTTGAACCATCACCATTTTGTGTGCTCTGAAGACCCAGAGAGAGAGAAACTTTCCATTCATCTTGCCTTCTTGGGGCTTATATAATGATTATACAATGCTGAGCTAGATTACATTCTGTGCTGTGTTGTGAATAGACACAGAGGCTTCTCCACAAGTTGTAATGCTTTCCTGCACACATTTGTGTATTAAATACTGTTGCCAGGGAGAAGGGCCAATTGGCATATCCAGTATTGGGAGTAGAGCTTCTTGGCATGGCCTTATTCCCTGCTTTTGTGATAACTCCAGTTTGGATTAATTTGTTTCTTGGGCTTTTGCAACAAGAATAGTAAAATTTATAAATGTGAATTGGAAACATTTAGACTATTTTATTCTGTACCTCCCTGTATAGGCCTTCTTCACATGGAATTATAAACCCAAATTTTGGCTTCAGATTCTGGCTTGTTAGGAGAACATTGAAGTGAGATTTCTTGGTTCATTTAGCTGATTGCATGATACAAGGAGCTATGGGGGAGCGATTACAAAATATAAACCAGTGTGCATGTTCATTCTGGTGTACTGTTAAGAGCAAATTAACCTGTAGAACCATCCTGGATTTTTAGGGTCAACAAAAGAGGGTAGCTTTGTCTTATTCATGAAATTAATAAGGTCATGGGTCAGAGTTCTGTCCACTATGGTCTGAGTTCTCCCTTGAGAGAGAGAACTGTCAGGGTTCACCTGTACGATTTTTCAGGAAGCAAAATTAAATATTTATAATTTAAGAAGATACTGTGCTCTTGACTACTGGGAATTGTGGTTGACTCCTCACTTAAGTTTACTATTTTGCATTAATTTGTGCTAGTTGCATAGGGGGATGTTTTTATCATTATTATTATTAAATTGTATCCCGCCATACACACACACACATGCACGCACACACATTTCCCACAAGCAAGTCAATGGGGAAGCTGGCAGAGAAGGTCACAAGTTGCCCCACTAAGTCGCTCACACCCACCTGACAGCAGCCATCTCGGCCCCACCGTGCTCAGGCCATCCTCACAGGCCATTTGCACACCCTCCCCTGCCTGGCAGCAGCCACCCTTGGCCCCGCTGTGGCTTACCTGCCTGCCCGCCTGCTTGCAAACCACCTGGGAGTTGCTTAATGATCCATGATCCTTGCCTTACTACAGCAATGGGGAGTGCCGGGATTGCCATAGCTAAGCAATGGGGTCACGTGATGTCATGTTTTATGACTGCATCGCTTAGCAACGGACATTCCGGTCCCAATTATTGTCATTAACCTAGGACTACCTGCAGTCAGCTCAGTTTGTTCTTGTATCCCCTTAAAAATCTAAGTAGAAAGTGAGTCTAAGGAAAACGCATATTGGTTTATGATGGCTCTAGGAAGCTTTCAACATTTTTAATTTTTGTAATTGTATTATAATAGGGGTATTTTTTTATTTATAAAGTTTGTTGTCATCTCTGTACATTGCCAATAGTTATTTTATTGTGGCAGTTTAAAAATCAGATAGAGAGAGGGAGAGGTAGAATACTTACTTTCAATAGCATCCTTCTGTTCTAATTCCCAATCATCAATATTAAGCTTACTGGAAATAATATATAGTCATCAATTAGTATCCATTGATAGCTTCATTCTTCTCATCTTTTTACTCATTTTTCTTTTAGCCCTACAAGAGTATGTATTTACTTCCTCAGCTTATACATAACCTGACCAAACAGTTCTGGATATGTGGAGCACTATAGATCTGTATCCCTGTACTTATATGATGACTGGGGATTCTAAATGCAAGATGGGACCAAGTGAATTAGCTCTTTATACTCATTTTAAACTTTGAACCCCAGATTCTGAAATTGATCCTCATCTGTTGCCTAAGAGATCACTCGGTAAAATCTGTAATATAGCCAGGCTAAGTCTAGTATCTGGGTTCAAATCTTGGTTCTGCCGTAGCTCTGGGAAACCTGGCCCGCCTTAAAATTAATATCCTTCTGAGTGATCTTGACTAGCCCAAATTAATATCTCTTAGAGATTTATGAGAATTGTGTTGAAAGAAACCCATGTATATGGAGAAAAGGTGGTAAGTAGAACAATTAGAAATGGTGTTACTTCTAGTTCTGCTCGTTATACGTGGTATATGTTCTTGGTCATAGCACTGAGTGTGCATGTGTGTGCGCTTAAATATATCATGCCACATAGCTAACAATTAATCTTTGCTTTTCAGACAAACATGGTGTCTCTGGAAGGCCTTACCAAAGTTGTTGACCCTTCTCAGTTAACTCAAGAATTTGATGGCTGTTTGGAATATAACCATGAGGAATGGATAGAAATCAGAGTTGCCTTTGAGGATTACATTAGCAATGCCACTCACATGCTCTCTAGGTTGGAGGAGCTGCAGGATATATTGGCCAAAAAGGATTTGCCTCAGGACTTGGAGGCAGCCAGAAGTATGATAGAGGAGCATTCACAACTGAAGAAAAAAGTCATTAAAGCTCCTATTGAGGACCTGGACTTGGAAGGGCAAAAGCTACTGCAGAGGATACAGAGCAGTGAGACTTTCCCCAAAAAGAACTCTGGGTCTGGAAATGCAGATCTACAGAACCTCTTACCGAAAGTATCTACTATGTTGGACAGGCTGCACTCAACACGGCAGCATCTGCATCAGATGTGGCACGTACGGAAATTGAAATTAGACCAATGCTTTCAGCTCAGACTTTTTGAACAGGATGCAGAGAAGGTAAATGTAAACTTTTATCAGCTGATTTAAGGTGATTGGGCCATAAATATTAGCATTTGGTTCTGTGGAAGCATCCAGTAGGCTGCATTTTTCCCCCTTTAAAACCTAGATTTTAGGATTCATCTATTTTTCTCGCCATTAAGGCATAGGAAGTGGTGGTGATTGGTGTTACAGAAAGAAGAGGTAGATTTCCTAGCAAGTTGTCTATACGATGTTGCCAGAACCCCATTAGTTGTTACGCTTGATCTGAAGCAGCCTTCTCCCAGCCGATGCCCATCAGATGTGTGAGATTCTTTTAGTACAACTGGAGGACACCAATTTAAGGAAGGCCTTTTTAAACTGTGGTACACGGACAGAGAGACATACTGTACAACATGCATGCATACATACAGATAGAAAGAAAAAGGGGTAAGTGCAATTCTGCCCTCTAATTTTCAGACTCATTAATTTTTTTATAGTCCAAGAGTTCTTATACATGTGTAATTAATGCTGAGTTGGATACTAGAGTAAATCACAGTGTAGGAACTCATTTTATCTAGAAACTAATATGACTAGGAAAGAAGCATAAGATACTGGAGTATTATTTTATTTTATTCTTATTATAACTTACTTTAACCTAGACAAGTTGATGATTTAGGCAAATTAATCATAACACTGGGATTTGAGTGAGATATCTTATTACCCTTACACATATGCACATGCTGTTCTCAGCCAAGATTGGCTTCCAAGATGGTTTGCAATTAAAATCCAACACAGAACAAACAGAGCCCAATAAAATCATAACTAGCTCACTACTATTACTGTAGCTTTTTCTTTCTTTGGACTCCTGCCATTTTTTTTCTGGGCTGACAATTAACATCTCTAAAGCTCGCTCTTTCACAGAGGGTTTCTTCAGGAGACCCAGCAAGCTTTTAACCATCTATTTTCATCAGCCGCTAAAATCTTGCAACAAATCTTGAGACAGTAATATGCCCTGTACTGCCTTCCCTTCTGTCGAAAGAGCTGCTAGGAGCATCCACAAGTAGAAGTCAGTTAAAGGGCATAGGGCTTGCTGTCTTTCAGGCGGTTGTAATTTCAGTCCCCAAATAGTTTCTTTCTCTTAGCATTAGCTAATCATGGGAAGGTGAGGATTTGGAGGACAAGGTGGCAATAGTTGTCAACTAAGGGCATGAAAACATATTGAACCTTTTTGAATGCAAAGCAACCAGCTTCAGGTGCAAAATGCTTTGCTTGGAATGGGAAACAACTATTTTGTGGCAAATTTCAAGCATTTTGGAAGTATTTTGAGACACCTATTGAGTGCGAACTACTCTGTTTTGAGCTCGGAACACTTCCAGAATGCTGGCAACCATCAGTTTCACATCTAAAAAGCTACCTTACACTTGAAACACAGCATTGTTACTGGAAACAGGATGTTCTGAATTTGAAAACAATTTGACTTGAAATGTTGTGCGTATCCCTGTTTTCAGCCATGTCTTAATAGTCTATCATTTGGATTTCGTTTTTGCAGATACTCAGAAAATATAATATACGGACTTGTGTTCTCTACTTAGAGGATTACAGGCTTTCTCAGACGATTGAAGATCTGAGAAGATCTGAGTAGATTCTACCTATTTTGAATCCTAACACAGGGGAGAGATTTCCCGCTTGCAAAGCACATTGATCTAGCATTCCATAGATGCAGGGAACATTCCCCAAAATTTAAGGTTCAGCAGGGGCTGGGAAAAAGTATCTGGAAATATAGGATTCATCCTTTTTGCCAATGACAACATGATGATGATAAACATGAGTTGGAGCAAATTCTAACATCATACTTTTCTTCTGTAGCTGAATACCTTGGAGAATTAACTAAGTGAAAAAATGTTGTTAGAATGGAACATACATTTGGGTTTTGCACTATTTTATTCTAAGCAAAAACATGTGTGTATACTGTTGTATTTACATTTCAGGTTTCCTATGTCTGATTATTATTATTATAATGAACCACAGTCTGGTCCATGAAAGTTTATGCCATGAAAAGTTCTGTATTTTGGGCATTTAGTAATGCCCTGGCTCAGCCTGATCTAAGTTTGATTATAACAGAATGAACTTCCTGTACATTAGAATCAGTGTGTGTACCTGCTGGAATTTCATTCATCTTTTCCTGCTTGAACTTTGCTATTGAAGCAAAGGCAACTGGGCACCTGGCCTTAGTCTTGCATTCAAACTCTTAGGGCTGTTTGGGGCATCTTGCTTTTACAGAGGTTTTCTTTGTTACTTTGCTTATATCTAGGGAGGCAGGGAGACAGATTGGATGGTGAATTCCAGCTCAACCGAGTGCATAATACTGGAGAGCGTTTGTGTTTGTTTATTGGAGCTGCCAAGCAATATAAAGGAATCATGGCTATAACACATGGGCTTATATCAAAGCTTTAAAAGATTATAAAGGGAAGCACCAGCTGAGGCAATGTAATTTGGATACTTTATAGGGCTCTATTAAATTGCAGCTATATCATCTTAACTAAATAGCTGGTAAGAAAGCAAACAAATATTCATTGGCTAATGAATAAATGCACCTTTTAAAATGAGCTGTATTTAGATGCTTTAACTCTCATCCCCCAAATTCTAAATAGTCATGCCAAAACTTCACATTGATCGATTATTCTCACTTCTAAGGCCTCAAGTATAACATACAGTAATTAAAACATACAAGCAATAAAGCTGACTTGATGAGCAGATACAACAACACATTTAAGGTAGGAGTATCTTATTTAAAATTATGAGTTGGTATCCTAAATACTTTGGTTCAAATAAGAATTTACGAGCTATCTTGGACAAATCTGACTGTGAAATATCCTATAATAGATTAATACAAATGTAGCCTGAGGATTTTTCAAGGCTTCTTTTTAATTTAATCTCACATGTCCATTGTCTTGTCATTTTATTATTTATTTTTAAAAGGCAGCTATTTTGTAACTATCTGAATCTAATTATTGACTTTTTTCCTCAACCAACTGCACTACAGAATTAGTAAGTATTTCTGAACATCTCAGTTAAATGTCTCCAGGGTCAGCCCTTCCATGCAGCAAGATAATTATTTGCTCCTAGGTCACTGAGGGGATGGAGATATTCTTTAGATCTATCTTTTAGCCCAGCAGCCCCCTTCCCTGAACAGATGGTGTGATCTCAGAGCATTCCCAAGTGGTAGTTCTGGGGGATCACAATGTAGGTGCTAAAGCTATTCAGTCTGGTGCAGCCCAGGATTTCATGGATATCATTACAATAAATGGAACTATCCAAGTATGTCATTGACCTGACATATAGAGGAAATCATACCCTAGATTTGGTTTCTCAGTTGGACAGGAAGCTGCTAATCTGAGGTGAGGGTGGGGTCTGGCATCCCACTGCCATGGACAGACAGCTATCTGTTGAGATTTTCAGTGTCTTTTCCCCTCTGCAGTCGTATATTACCAATTGGAATGGGGCTTTCATGGGTTTCCAGTTGGTATGGTAGATACTTTTGTTGAAGCCCTGTGACTTGGCCCATCGCCCTATGATTACCCCCAGCCACCATCTCCTTAAGCTTTCCAGAATCACCTGGGGTATCTTGGAGCTGAGAGCAATGAAGAAAGTAGAACAGCAGCTAAGAAACAAGTGGAGGAAACTTATGACAAATCTAATTGAATAGTTATGAGAACTCATTACTGAGCTTACTCTATGGCAAGGGAGGAATTCTTTTCTACCATTCACTGTATTTGTAGAGTTATCCAATGTTTATTCTGAATAGTGAAGTATTTGTAATACTTTGATCTTGAAAGGGAATTGATCATATCCTCCATGGCTTAATGAGGTAAGTTGGTGGCATCTGATATTTTATAGTTAATGAAGATATATTTGGAGGAGGTATCCAGAACTCTGCCTAGTCTGCTGTTATTGAATAAGTTCCAGTTGTTGAGACCTGAAGATGCAGATTTTGTTCTTGGATAAATTCAACCAGTTATGTGTACAGGTAGTCCTTGTTTAGCGACTGCTCATACACCATTCGCAGTTACGACAGTGATGAAAAAATAACTTTGTGATCAGTCCTCACATTAATGACCATCACAGGTCTGTAAAACAAAGGAAAGCTGAAGTAAGATCATAAGCACAGTCACAGTTTCATTTAGTGACTGCTTCACTTAATGACTGAGTTGCCGGTCCCAGTTGTGGTCACTAAATAAGGACTAGCTTGTCTGTCTTGCCTTGTTAGATCTAGTAAGAAGGGGATAGCCAGTTGGATCTAGGAGGTCATTTATTCCTTTTTAAGACTGGTAATGGTACCAGACCCCTTGAAAGAAACAAGAACCAGGCCACTAATGAAGAAATCTACCATGGACACAGAAGTAGAAGATAAGGAAAAAATTAGCAGCCAATCTTTGGTTATCAGATTAGATCCTCAAGTATATGGATGATGACCATCTCCAAGCACTCCTACATGAAGTTGATTTTCCAAATCCATTTCAAACTTGGTTACCCTGTGGGTATAATCCTTTCTTAGAGTAACAAAGAGAACACAGATCTGTGAGTTATCTTCAAAATCTCAGCAGCTTTCAATAACATCGATGTAGTATCTTTCTGGACTTCCTAAGATAGAAGCACTATTTTTTCAGTAGTTCCACTCATAGTTGACTAACCATTCACAGAAGGTGGTCCTGTGGTATTATATCCCTGTTCCATGGCAGCTGGATCACAGGGGTCCTCAGACTCAGCTTGATGCCCATGCTATTTAATATTTATATAAAACCCATTGGGGGAGATAATTTGAAAGAGTGAGCTAACAATATACAGCTGATATCCAGCTTTACCTCACTTTTCCATCTAAACTGGTGCAGCAATAAACCTGAATCAGTGGCTCAGCACAGAAATGAACCTGATGAAGCCTAATGAATGAAGCTCATTCATTACAAAACAAAAAGGAGGTACTCTTGGTGGATGGCCTATCTGTTCAAATGAATCACATTTGGCCTGTTCTGGAAAGGATTGCACTGTTCTTAACATATCAGAGACAATGTTTGAGGATATTCCTGCATCCAGTACTATCACTAGCATCATAGGCTTGGGTGGCCTTCTGTCTGCTTAGGGTGAAGAATCAGTACCTTTCTAAACAGGAACATCTTGACATCAATTATCTGCTCTGGCAACTTATACTTGGGATTACTTCAGAAACTTCAAACTGTCAAAAACAGGGCTGAAATTGGAGCTGACCAATATGACCTTATTGGTTGGTAATACTCTTCAATTAGTTAGGGCTTGTTGGTATCCTACTAACTTCTTCTGAGTAGTAAATGAAGTTTCCTTTTTCATTAAATAGTCACTTTTTTCAAGTACAGTGGTACCTCGGGTTACGAACGCCTCTGCTAACGAATC